AGTTTTACTTAAATCTCAGCTTTTGCAATCTCCTTTTATTGTCTTTTAACATTATTTTGGTCATGGGAGGAGATTATACAATTATACACCGTTGACATTAGCAAGCCCAAGTTTTGAAACTCGGTAGAGATGGGTTAAATAAATATGAATGTGTGGAAAGTCCAGGTGTCTTTGATCAACTATATGGTACTGAAAGTAAGTTCTTGCATTGGAGCGGGGGTTGGATTGGCAGATGGGTAGTCAAATGATTGGCCCCGTCACTGAGAAGAAAACTTCAGACAATTAAAACTAGCACCTTTCAATGCTAGTTCTTGTTAACAATATCATGCTATAGTTGATATTGAAAAAAAAGCTAAAAAAAGTGTATAGTTGAAAGAAATCTTATACACAGCTTCAATAAAGAACCCATCACATTCAAAAAGACTTCAGCAGAGAAAGTGTACTTGGCTTACTTATCAACAATAGGTTTTTTATAGGAGTCTGTATAATGATAGATATATCCACAGTGAGTGAAGGTGTCACCCCAGCAGGTGATGGTGATGGTAATCATGTTATCATATGCTCTACTGGGGGACACCATTCACACACAGTTGACTGCACACACAATGGAACATTGTAGTTGATAGGCAGAGATTACCCCATGGCTCAGGTTTCAAAAACTGGGAAGAATTTTATGTATGATAATCTTTTTTGATAATCTGGCTACTTCTCTTTTTTTTTTTAATTTTCAAGTACTTACATGTATTTTCACTGGAAATGAGTTTTAAAGTCTCTATTATTATTATTATTATTATTATTATTATTATTATTATTTAGAAATGTTTTATTCATTTGGGAGTGGAACAATATATATAATGAAAGTGTTAGTTTTACTCTTAAAGGTAGATATTGATTCATAATATAAGTACACATATTATTATATTGATCGTTTATTCACACTTATTGATTGGCATCTTTATTCCATCTTTAAAAGCCCCCCCCCCCCCAAGAAAAAAAGGGATATCATAAAATGATTTGACGTAATTATAATCTAATAATAATTAATAGTAATTAAATTAACTCTAGCCCATAGTCAATGTGGTCTTTTTTATCGACATTGTAATATATACTATTAAAAGGCATAATATGTGTTATTATGGGTGTTTTAAGATGTGATAGGAATTGATAAGTACTTTCCTGTGCATTAATGGGTTAAGTCTGTCATCTCACCCTTGTTTGACCACATGATGGAGTTGGGAGATGAAACATTACACAGCAAGACAGCTTGGTAGAGGATGTGCAGGGATTTGGAAAATGCTATAAAACCACAAAATAAGGGAGTTTTACTGTGGAGACATTGTTTGTGATTTGGGAGTGTTCGTATCTAGGAACATTATGCATTTGTGACCAGCATTCAGAATTTGAAAGCCAGCTGCATGGACATGCAGAAACAATTTTGGGAGAAATGAAAGAAAGAAATTTAGTTTTTATATTTATCAAAAAATAGGTACAGTTTATTTTATAATTGGCATTAAATTAATGTGATTAAAATTAGATTAACTGCGATAACCATAAAATTGTATATAATGTGTTATTGTTCATGTCATTGACAGCAGTATTTTCAACAACACTGTCTTCCATTTAAAGGGTTGCATGATCCTTGGATTTAGTGCATGCAGTAAAAAAAACTGACCCCAGGCAATTAGTTGATCTCTCTGATAAAGTAGCTAGCCAGCTGTGTAGTTGAGAGCAGAGATATATGGGCTGGGTATAAGGTGGTGGTTGGATTGGAAGGTGAACCCAATGGCAGTATGCACAGTCAATGGTAGTCACCTACTAAGAAATGTCATAGATATATTCTGTTAAGGTTAAGTTTTATCTTGTTTAGGTTGTAGATTATATTTTGCTTATGCATGCTCAAGTACCTGCTAATAAATTGCCTGTGTGGTCTTTCAGTTTAGTGCCTCTAGTTTGGCAAAGTATATCTACTCCAGTAAAGGGTATGGTCAACTGCTTGGATTTTCATTCATTACAAATGATATTCTGTACCATGACCTTTTTCATCATAAAATATCCCTTAATGTTATTGATTTTTTTTTTGTCCATAGCAAGCAATTCCATTAAAACATTACTAGTATACCAATCGCTTGTCCTTCCACTTTCTCAAGATATTTTTAATTCAGGTCCTCAAACCAACACATTTTATGCTCTTTTCTTTGAAATTGAAAGGATGTTAGTAGAAAGCGTTTGTCCCAAGGCTATAAGCAACATATTTTATGGCCATGCATCTACCATCAAGCTTCTGCAGTATGTAAGATCTCTTAGATTTTGGTTATGATTGTCATAGAATTAGAATTGTTTTTTGTTTGATATGTATTATGGTATTATAGTAATTTATGTAATGATTTGAATGCAAACTGATCAAAAATGAGTTATGATACTAAAGGGCATCTAAGAACAGGATGGCTTTCTATTTTGTGTAATCCTTAAAAGGAAATACCTCTTCAGCATAACATGTAGTCATGCAGTCTTTTCATGTGTAATGTGATATGGGGAGACTAGCTAGAGTTAATGACACTACTAAATAGTCCAAAATTCCCATTTTAAAAAGTGATGCATTTAATCCTTATATTTTGTTGCATAAAAATTTAAAAAGATTAAAACAATCTAACGATAAAGTGACAGAATGAAAAATACCAGCTTGAATATATTTCAATTTGTTCTTAAAAATGATAGAGAAATGTATCTTTTGAAATAAGGTAAATATAGAATTATGCCCAGAGCTTATGTGAAAAGCCAGTTCTTGAAATTCGGACAGATTTCCTTAGATTTATTTTTTATACCAAGCCTATAGATATATACTGTAGATGCAGTCTGTTATCATTACCTTGAGTATTATTGTTGGCATGCTATTTTACACTGGTTGCTGCCAGTTTTGGTTCATTGATGTTTTTTATATGGTTTTTATCAAGACTGTGCTGTTATTGATATGGATCACATAACAGACTGGCTGGGTTTAAACTGTACAGTTGTGATAACGTGGGATTAAATCGAAATTGCACTTTCCAGGTTGTACTACCCAACTGGTAGCACCAGCTTCATCTGACAAACAGAATCTGTTGTGTGTATCTACATTAGAATATGGGATGGTATAGAAAAGTGGGCAAAATGAATCATTCCATACCATTTTTCACAGATGGGATGAATGGAATTAATATATGTACTAATATATTAGAATTCCATTTCTTAGGTTTGATAGAATATACCAATATTTCAGTGTTTTGAAAAATTGAAAAATCTAAATTGTAGTTATATTTCAGTGTTGTAAAAAAAGATAACACCAGAATTTAGTTATGATTTTAAAGTATTTCTTTTCTTGGAACTCTCAAAGTCATAGCTAGGTATGACCTCTCCTCCCCTCCTCCCCCTATCTGACTGACAGTCTGTCTGTTCAGTTAATTATCCTGGGTGTGTGCAGGCATCCCCTGACCTGAACTGTTGAGGTCAATGACCTTTCATTTTGGGGGGAAATTGCCCACATATACAGCTTCGACTCTTTGATAAGGTTAACCTGTCGCTCATGGTACATATGGATTGAAAATACTGGCTATACATCAACATAAACAGGTTAATTCATCGATCAAATTGTTTTAAGTGATGGATTAATACTATTTGGTCAAAGCAGTGATACATAGTTGCTGAGAATTGGTTTTTATATTTATTTTTACCCAAGAAGAATAATTATACTTTTAAGCTGATGGGAAAAGAAGCATGCACTATTAAGAGGTTAACCAAATCTATGGCGTAAATAGAGGCAGCTTAAAAATAGCAGGAGCATCTCCCTTACTGAGAAACTGACTTAGGGAGCTTGTTAAACTGCCTTTCCCACTTCCAAGTTTCACTGTGATTGTCAAACATGGTGTGTGTGTGTGTGTGTGTGTGTGTGTGTGTGTGTGTGTGTGTGTGCGCTTATGCATTACCACAAATTATGTAATCTACCGATAACCAACATGAAGTCTTATGATGACACACATTACCAGGCCCCTATTTAGATTTATACATATATCTTCTGTTTATTACACCATTGTTGAAAGGGTTTGTTGATCTTTACAATTGCTGTCAGGTGTTACTTTTTTGGCAGGAAGAAATATTGCAGTAAGGGTGAAAGACCACTCTAATGATCCTTAGGGCTTTCAAGGTTTATAATATGCAGAAAATTAGGTACATGTATTGTAGTTATGCTTATGGATTTTAGAAAAACTCCCTTTTTATTTGCCAATGACAAGGAATAACTTCTGAATCAACACTCATTGTCCATTTAGAATTTTTAATTTAAGCCTTAAGAAATTAGAAGAGCCTTTTTTCTGGGAAATATGAATAAAAATTTCTACTTAATCAGGGAGAAATTGGTGTATTTATCAATATGTACTCTATATAATGGCAAAGTATGTCTTTTGTTCAGAATAACATCCATGGTGGCACTTGTTTAAAGTCATCAGGTAGTTTTACCCATTCACCTTTTATGCTGGTATCAAGTTAAACGAGATGAATTGAAAACTACCTGTATCAGGTGTAATACCTTGTATATAAAAAAGATCACCAGTATTGTCAAGTATACAGTCATGGTGTTTCCTTTATATGGTAGATATTGGGAATATTATAATTAAAGATGGAACGGCAGCTTCATTTTTGAATATGTTTATTTAAATTTCATATTTTCAGGTAATGCTATAAATATATATGTGCAATTAATAAACACAATTCAATGACCATATTTAATCCTTTATTTCTATTGTTATATCAACCCTATACAGATATATACAGAATACAGAAGTAAGAAGGACAGAATTTAATATACATGGAGTATATTTTATATCATAATTATTGAAAATGCTTTGCAGTTTCAATCCTTTAGGAAAACAAAACCCAATTAATATTATTTTGAAATTATCAAGTCAAAATGGTTAAAAAAGTAAAAAAGACCATGGAAAATGATATACATTTACATTAATTTATTTCAGATCAAAACAAGAACAGGACGGTCAGGTCAGTGGTCAGCCTCAAGCCAAGCAGTGCAAACCAGCCAGATGTGGTCAAGCACTCCTTGACCAGATCTCGAGCCAATGCTGCCCAGGAGATCAGCCGTCTTGAGGCACTGTGTGAGCAAAGGACCAAGGAGCTGAACCTGCTGAAGCTAGAGCTCAAGGCCAGCCTCCTGGGATTTGACGCCATGACGGTGACAGTTCGATATCTGACGGAAGAGGTGAGGCCTGGTGACATATAGATATGTGACTAGAAATAAAGGTTGACTTTTAAAAAGAGATTTGGTGTAAAAAATCACTTTACATTTAAGGGCTACCTTTTTTTACAGAGAATAAAAATGAATTAAAGATCAAAACAGAATTTTGAGTAATGAAGGTGAAAAATGAACAGCTTTGAAAACATATGTGTATATCTCATATGTGCTTGTGTATTTTACATCAACATCTCAGCATAAGAAGTTCAACTAATATGTGATAAATTGATAATTTGTAATGTCCTGAAGAGTAATATCACAAGCAGTGGCATTGTACATGTATGTACTTGTGCAGCTTGTAAGTACATACTGCAAGATGGCCTGCTGACATTGTGTGCTGATGATTGCTGTAGAGATTCTCAGTCACAGCAGATGCAACTGCTCTCAGTGTGGAAAAAAAGAACAGAAAAAATGTGGAGATCTTTCTTGGTTTTGTGAAAGGATATATTTTAACTGCTAGAATTATATATATATATATATATATATATATATATATTGGTGCCATTGATTGTCACAAATAGTTAAGAAATGAAATTGGAACTGTGTTTAACTATTTTTTCAAAAAATGAATGATACATAAAAAACAATGCAGTCTGAATTGCATGATTGAAGCATTTAAATGCAAGCACGTGCTTCAATAATATAAAAAAGAAGTAAGTAATCAGTTCTATGAAAGCTTTTTCCTCACATGTGGGAGATGCATGCATTCTTATCATATCAACCTATTCAGTTTGTGGCATACACCTCTGTTCAAATGTTACACACCTCCAGCATTGCCCAGCTTGAGTTGTGAATTATTTTGAAAATTTCACCAGAGCAGGGATGAGTCTAAGCCTAGTTTGGTGTGTAACATTGCTTTTTGAATATTTCCCTCCAGACACAAAATATATGGTTCTAGTAATCCATTTTCTTATGGACTATAGAATGTATGTGGTTTATTGCAATTATCCATGATTTGTCTGGTTACAATGCTAAATGCCCTCCAAATTACATGAAAAAAATATATACTTTTGTCCAACAACGACCTTATTGAAAACAGTACTGAATGCTCTCCCTAAAGATAAAAAAATGTCAGATAATTTTGATAGACAGCTGATATATATAGTTTTTGCTACATACCCCCGTGATAGTCATTCATAGTTTCAAATATTTAGGATAACACTTTTTTCAAAGCTTACCTGCCAATCATGTGTTACAATACTTACTCACTGAATTTCTACAAAATGGATTTTATTTTTTCTAAAATTATGTTTTGTTGTTGATATCTAAAAAAGAAATGTGTAGAAGTTCTGGAAAAAAAGTTTATTTCAGAAATTGTCAGTTTTAAGAATCTATAATACTAAATCTTGAACATGTACAAAATTGAAATAAATAGTGTGTATAAAATTCCTGAGTTATTACCAAATTGGAGGTGTAGAGTCATCATGAAATGTTACAGTATTAGCATTATGCGCATGTAAATCATGACACATAAATGATATCCAATGCCAGGTATAGATAGCTATTTGTATGGAGAACAGCCAAAAACACTAAAAATACATTTTAACTAATGACACAGTTATAATGTGCCAATGATTAACAGAGGCACGAGTAACTTAACTGTGAGTGGCCACAGGCCTGCACTTTGTAAAATTAAATGTCATAGGGACCGAAAAAAGGTGACATTGTAATTGATGACATGCTTAAATAGGCTCTGAAATAATGTTCTCATTTGGCATGGAGATGGGAGAACACCTTGTGACATTGGTGATAAATTGTCTGTACTGCTGGAGTGTTAAACAGGTACTTGTGTCTATACAACATTGAGTAAGGAAACCATGTCAGGCAAGAAAGCAAACTGTCACTGAGATGGTTAATTGAGAGAATTTGTGGGTGGGATTTTTGGTTCTATTTTTGTTTTTTTTTTCTGCAACACCCAAAAAGTTTCTAAATGTTCACACACAGGTTTGATCCATTGTGAAGGTTCTCCATCTCTTGGAGACAACGTGTGCCAAAATTTACATATGAGGCAGGTACATGTGTATAAGTTTCAGTGATAAGTGGTCGAAATTAAAAAGAAATCATTAGTACAAATGCTGGTTATGGTAAGTGCCCTGTGGACAAACCAGTTTATGAAGAAATGTTGGACACAAAAGATTTGTACTGCCATAGACAATTGGTACTTAAAGTTTCAAAATATTGTATTTTTCATTCAGGTGTTTATTCCTGGTATGTTACAAGATAAATGATAGAGAAGCATTGTAAGTATTTATTATAATTTTTTCCTTCCAGTTGGATGGTTTTTCCTGTCCCCGTATAGCAGCACAACTAAAGGACACTCAGGAATCCTTGGCACAGGCACAAGCAGAAATAGGTGAGATGATACTGAAAAATTATCTCATTGTAAATAATTGGGTGATTCGGGTGATTTTCTCTGAAACACGTTTATATGCACTATTTACATTCACAAGTTCAATATGTTTGTCCTATAATGATGCTTTGTAGAATGTGTTCCTGCATGTGTGTGTGTGTTAACAGTTCTGTGGATTTTGATTGAAATTCTAGAAATTTTTCTTTGAAAAGGGTTTGCACTTTTGAACCCAGTGCAGAACTTAAAAAAAATGATATCTAAAATCTCAATCCTTTTGGTGCAGGCCCGTAGCCAGGGGGGTTCGGGGGATTCGAAAGCCCTTTTTGTTAGAAAAAGATCCATTCTGGATAAAATTTGGTCTAGGTACACAAAGGTTTCATTGGAAAAGGTCCACTTTTTCAGAAAGAGAACCCCCCTTTTGAAATTGCTGGCTACAGGCCTGTGATGTATCCTTACAACATGGTGTAATGACATATATTGGACTTAAACAGAAAGCTAAAGTCTGCATAAGGGTGGGGCAAGGTGACCTGATCTGAAAATGACATGCAACTTAACAGTAAGGTCCAAGTTTTCCCTCTCTCATGTATAAACTAATAGACCATATCTGTTAAGCCTGTACTGCCAGTTCTGTGGATGAAAAGGACTTTTATTTATATCCCAGGCTGGGGCCATATATGGTTTGTATTGATGGCCAAACATGTATTAATACTTTTATTCAATAACCAGGATGGACTAAGAAGCCCTATTTTTTATAATTTATTTTGTATGACTGATGAAAAATGATTTAACTGTTGATGAGCTGATAGAGATGTAAGGTCTGTTTTGACTAGAACATTTTTTGACCGAGAACGAGATGACCAAGTAACATATAGGCAGGCTTCATTGAGCCTTGGACTAATCAAGTTTCAGATTAAATGGTCTGAGACCCATATCGTAAACCTTTTGTTAGCTAACAACTTCTTCTATGTAACAGAGCACCTACTCTAAATCTCTATTTCAAATCTACAGGTAAGTTTAGCAAACAGCATTTTAATAACAATAGTAAGCTTGAGATGTTGGTGATACCAGCCCAACAAGTTGGCCCAATCATCGGTCTGCTTATAAGTCCTTGTCTATACAGTCCTTTGATCTCTGGTGCCCCTTCCACAATACTACTAGAGGAGCTGACAGTGGTCCAATGTAAAATGGATATATAATTTGTGGACGAGTTCAGTCTAGGGGAGAATGCATGGTGCCAGAGGATTCTGCTTGAGGCGCAGTGTGTCATTTTGCCACTGAATCTATGGAAGCTGCTGAAGTTAGGCCTGATTTACAGTGTGCTGCTTCACAATGTGCTCAGTCCTATGAGGGACAGACCAGGTCATCTTCAAATGATTTGTAAGAGGATTTGCCTGCATAACCTTACACGAGATCCATACTAGTAATATGGTAAAAGTACAGCAAGTTTTTCTGTACTTGTAAGCTGGAGATGAGGGAACACCAGGAGAGGGTTAGCATTTTGAATAGTGAAAACAGGACTTTAAAAGTTGGTTCATTTCCAACAGGTTGTGTTTGATGATATAAAATCACCAGATTAATCTGTGCATGCAGTCAAATGGTGTGATCATTTTAATGTGCCATGGCTTTGGTGACAGGATCAAATTAAATTGGTCAAAACACTGACTTGTTGGTAAATATGCTGCTCACTAACATTTGCAATTTATATCATATGGAATGGAGCTATATGTATTGTGATTCAATGCTATGACAGCAAATTATCATAGAAGATGTGGGAAGATAAGGGATTCATAAATACTGAATGGACAGAAGTCCCAGCTTGGTATTAAGTCTATATTGAACATCACTGAAGCAGAAATAATATGTCACTATACCTACGAGTCTGCGTTTAGTGTGTACACATTTCATAGTGACCTAAGGGTTGTTAAATACCTGAGTGTATGCGGGCTTCATTGCCACATATTCTCCAGCAAAAAATTCACCGATGCCATGAGGATTCACATTTGATGCCTTCAGGGACTACATTGTTCATATATTAGATGCAGGCAGAAAAACATTGAAGGTCATCTGCGAGGGCACCTGATCCATCAATAGTATATTTCCCAAAACTGTATCATTAAACTGTAGTTTTTGTGAAAGAACTCTCTTGTCAGTTTTACATGTTACTGTGAGAAGAATGAATTCCCTTTCCTTTTGAGGTAGAAAAGTTTGGGGATGTTTCAGATAACACACAAACATGTTCCATTCTCTCATATGTTCTGAATTGAGGGGAAACCAGAGCTTTTATCTGCAAGAAAATGCATTTTATAGCACAATTTACAGTGATGCTTATTGCTGAAGAAAAATGCAACATTGTTCACGTATAAATATGGAAAGCAAGGAACACTATGATGTTGAGGCCCAACTACCTACTAGAAGATCTTGGCTGGCTTCTCCTGTGTCATTGATAACTATGGTTTATAAGATTCCATTAAGTCTTCTGTGGAGGGCTTGTTTAAATGGAAAGGGTAAGATGCTTGGCAGACTATTATAAACTGCAAGTTTGACAATTACTTTATGTTTTCAAACATATTTGAAGGTGATACTTAACAGTATGATACAAAAGTTTGGAAAGGCAAGTTGGGTGCACTGCAGAAGTGTGTGTTTGGTGTGCATGCATGCGCACACACAAGCATGTGTGACTCTGGAAAATATAACATCTGAGTGAGTAAGGTATTTGAAAATCATGAGTGATTACTCGAAATTTTCTAAGAAGGACCTTGACACACAGTTTTTTGTTTATCCTTAATGTGTGTACTCATTGTTTTTCAACTTTTTTTATGCTCTTCCAGCTGAATTGAAACAAGACAAATGCCACCTCCAGGATGAAGTAATCTCCCTGACCAAGCAACATGAGGAGAAGGTGGATTCCATGAAGTCACACCACACCAAGACAGTGCAGAACTTACGACATACTGCAGAGGAAGACAAGGAGAGGGAAGTGCAGAGAAGTAAGTGGGTCTGTCTGTTTGTCTGTTAGTCAGTTTGTCCATTTTTTTCTTTACTTTAAACACATACAGATAATGTTTTGTCATTTAATGTACAGCAGAATACAATTTACTTATTAGACTTGCAGTTGTTGAAGATGGCAGGATATTAGGTATCTAACTTGTAGGGAATCATGAAAAGCTGAAGTCCACCTTTTCTGATAGAATGGTTAATGTGATAGTTGTGATTGTGTTCAGATGTGCTCATCAACCACAAAAGTTCTGAATCAGTTTAAACCTGGATGAAAAAAGATCATTTTAAAGGGATAATAACTCTTCGTTTTGTCCAAAAAATGAATTTTCCTGGAGTAACCAACAATTTTCCCATACTTACCAATGGTTAATGAATCCATTTTTACATTCAAAGTAAGTCCCTGGTTTTATTCTAAAAAGTTTGTTTTTTGTTAAAATCTTTTAAGAGATTTTAACAGAGTATTGCCATCAATGGAGGTCACGTGGTCTAAAGACAAGCTCAGATATCAGAATAATAGCTATAACTGCCGTTTTTGTGGTAAAACATAATATATTATATTTCTATGAGTTATTCACAATGTTTTTATTGTGAAATATAGATTTCATACGAAGAGTTATTATCCCTTTAAGTTTAAGTGTGTACTATTTTCTGTCACTGAATTTTTTTTTTTTTAATTTTTAGGCATTTTTGGTAAGAGAAAGTAATTTGACTGACTGATGAATTTATATTAGTGCATAGAATGAGATATAATTGGTACACCTTATCTCAGTGTTGTACCTAGAATAGACATTTGTAAATTATATCTGATTTCATAAAAGGTATTTCACCTTATTCAAATGTTTAATGTAAGCAGCCTTTTTCTAAAATTTTATATTTTTTAATATTTGTTGTCCAGTAATTGACCAGCACTCCCATGAGGTGACCACACAAAGGGCCTACCATGAGCGAAGAGTGGCCGAACTGACCGCCGAGTATGATCGGAAACTGAAGGAAGTCCAGGACAAGAACCAAGACATACTGGAACAGATAAAAATTGAACAGCAGGAGCAAATACAAGGTGAGATGTTGGTTCAGTTTCAGATACAATAGCTTAAAAACAAGGGTACACTGTGTTAGATCTTGTTCTGTCATGTCTTAGTCCACAACTATAAGTTTATCTCAGAGAAGAATTATGGTAATTACTCCCAACATTTGAAGAACATTGAAGGTATTCTAATAAAGATGAACTCAGAAACTATGCTCATGCCAGAAACTATGATTTGTAACTGGAAATCATAGATCTTGAGAAATGAAGTTAGTGTAAACATTATTGTAAATGAGGCATTTAATTTTTATTTGTGTGTGTGTGTGTGTGTGTGTGTGTTTCGAAGTCATCTTTAATGCTATAAAGAAAGGAAAAAAAAACAGACTGAGAAATATTAGTCTTTTTTTTTTGTCTTCTTTAACTTTGTACAGCTGTATCAGTGATGATTTGTCACACACACTCAAATGTAACAGCTATCCCACAGTATGTGCATAGTACATTAATAGAATAGTGTATTTTATGTAAAGTATTTGTAGCAGTTTTATACTGGAATGTGGAAACACAATCTGTGGTAAAAATAACAAAAATACTGGATGCCAGATTTGTGTAAATTTGGTAGGCATAAGCAGTATATTTACTCAAAGGACAATAAAAAAAGCACACAATGTCTTCATAATTCTATGAAGAAAAATAAAAAAAACAATACATGTCAGATTTGTTTTAATTTGCTGACATATATGTTTAGGCAAGGAAGGATAAAAAAGCACACCCAGACTATCAAACTATTAACAATGAAAATACTTCTGAACAACAAAAGCAATGGCATAAATACCTTCAGTTCATTTGGTTGATTATATTTCATGCAGTGTTGAGAGTAAAAACTCTGATTGAATGCTATATTGACTTTGAATTATATATAAGCCCCATGTTCCTTGTTTGATGTAATTTGAGCAATTGACCAATAGGCAATGTCTATAAAACCACTACTCCCCTGGACCAATTGATTGTACTCAGCGGGAGTTCGATCACTATTCATTGAGGCAAGGATTTGTAAGCTGTGTACAAAAAAGATGAGCTGGGATATGTACTGTATCCAGTGAAGAGAATCAGAGTGTTTGTTTTTCAAGATGGAATAAGGGAAATGGTGCTTTGCAAATATGATAATGTATATAGCAACTTGTGCATTTCTACTGAACTGAAAGCAAGTGCCAGTGTAACATCTCGTGTGTTGTTGTATTTTACAAGGGTGTCATGTTAAGTACTTTCATAGATCCATTGTACAATGTTCTGGTCATTTTGAGTTGGTATTTATCAATTTCTTTGTACACTAGTTTGTATCTCTGTAACTTAGACCTGACATTAAAAAGTGTGCAGGAATAGAAGATATGTATTGTACTTAAATCAGGAGGAGATCTGAAAATTATACTGATGGACTTTATTATTTAAAAGCCTATTGTGTGGAGCTCTAAGTCAGGATCCTTTGGCGGGATAGGAGGCGAGTCTCAAAAGGATTTTAAATTCTCATCATAACAACACAGTTTTGGCAACACATATTTGTCTACACTGGAATTGTTGCAGTAACAGCAGGCAGCTCCATTTTACACAGCATTGTGACAGTAACAGAAGGCACTTTACACAGTAACAGCAGGAGTTCCACTACGTTACCAAGTTACAGTGGATGACGAGGATGTGGAACTAGGCTGATACAGTGTTATTCTGTACTAATAGTGGCGTGGTAATAATTATACACAAATAAAATTGTGCCAGAGGCTATGGCATATGAATATTGTCCTAGGTGGTGAACAGATAGCTACAGGCATACAATACACAGTAAACAGCATATCTCTCTATATGCATGTAGAGTATTCTATATGGTATACCAGTACAACAGGCGTCTATATTATGGAACATCTGTACACATTAACTCCTCAGATGAACAAATGTCATGAATAATTTGTACAGTGAAGATAGACGAAAAATTTGAAGACAGTTCTCTGTGAATTATTTACGAATGATATTATCTACATGGTATTGTGAAGCAATGGTTTAACATGTGGATGGAGGAACAGAGTGGAGGAAAATACACAATTCTGGTAGTCCTAAACTCCGGTCTGTGTATGTACTGAGAAACTATGCAGTTGACAGTATTTTAAGTTTGACACACCGGGAATCAGCAGCTTGGGGTTTTCCCTTGGAAATATCTGTGTTCAGAAAATCTCACTTCTGAGAGTGAATTATCTTTCAATACTCTGGCAACTATGGCAAGCAAAAGAAGATTTGGAAGTATACTTGAATCATTCAAAGGTTATACATTCAAAATTCAGTGTTTTGTGGTTAAAATGTTGATAATATAAGTGCATAGGTGGCTATTTTCCTTCTGAACACACTTTTTTTACTGTATTTTTTAACTGTTTTCACTTCTTTTACTGACGTGAAAAACCTTGGTCCATGACTTGGTCCATGACTTGGTCCATTACTTTTCAAAAGGCTCTGCCTTGTTATGAACTAAATAGGGATATGACAGTTTTGTTTTCTGGGGTACATTTTAGTATTATTTTTACATTTATTTTTCCAGAATTACAGAGAAATCATGAATTGAGACTAGAAGAAATCACAAACAAGTTTGAAGATATCAAATCCTCTCTACTTGTAAGTACATGTATATACTCTGTTTTACATGTGTGTGTGTAATAAATATTAATTTAAGAAGTTTTGAAAATTAGCCAAAAGAAAATTTTGAGAATCACTGAAGCACTTAGATCTATATGGCTATACTGATTTCCTAAAATATTATGTTTACATATCATGTCAGTTCTTTTTTAAATAAATGATACTAAATCATTTGGTATAATTGCTTATTTTGTCTTTTTTTTTTCAAATTTGCTTCACTCCAGAACAAAGTAGAAACCTTGCGACTAGAATGCGAGGAAATGCGTGAGAGGACAAAGGAATACGAAGAAGCACTGCAGCGCGACTCTGATGTGAAGGTTGCCTTGGCTCTCGCTCCGTACAATCACTTGCCAGCCGAGATCGACAGTTTGAAGACCGTGATCGAGATGCGCAACATGGAGATCCATGATCTAAGGAGACATAATTTAGAACAGTCAAAACAGGTGAAAAGATTGTGAAAATAATTAAAGTGTGAAACATGTCACAACAAAATGAGTAAAATTTAATGATTTTTTTTCTTTTGAAAGGGGACAAATAATTGGTTATGACAAGGCTCTGTAATTTTTTGTAATTATCTAAGTAATTTTATATGTGACAAAAGACTACTTTGAGCTATTATATTTAAATCACTAGTTGAATTATAGGTTAAGTTGTATTGGTAAATATGTATTCAACTTGTGTTTAACAGTTCCAATTTTAAATTATTTTCATTATTATTCCTTTAGTTGGAGGAACTGCAAATTGCTAAGGAGAAGAACATCGCACTGGAACAGAAAATTGAAAACCTAGAAGCTATCATAAATATCAAATCTGACTACGAAAAGTAAGTTTGGAAATTATGTATACTGTAAAACAAATAGTTAAACAATAATGCATCAGCTTGAAACTTATGTTTTCAGAACATTGTTTAAAATTAGTAGTAACTTCCAAGCAACCATTATAAAGCAGTGTGTAATATGATTTTTATATAAGATGATCTTTATAGGGATAAATTATGCAGTGATATGCATTGCCAGTACTCGATAAAATGGAGGGTTTGCAGTAAAGTTTTATCAGGGTCATACATGTATTCTGTTGCAGACAACTGTCAGAGAAACATCAAGTTCTCATGAGACGATACGATCGTGAATCAAAAGCAAACAAGCGCCTGTCAATGGACAAGGAGGAACTTGTGTGGCGTATTAGTAACAGTGATCTCAGCCAATCAGTGGACTTTGGCAGCAGTGGAAATGTACGACGGCAAATCAGTCGTTCTCCTACCAGCAGCGAGCCTGGGACACCAGATGGCAGCAGGCGCCATGCAAGAAAATCCCCACTAAGCACATCGCCTGCTGGCAGTGACTTTATTTGCTCTCCCACACATCGCACTAGTCACAAGAGGAGATCTGGGTCACACATGAGTGACGATCACTCACGGCCCACGTCGTCTGCTTCAGAAATGGATGAAGAGAGGGATGATCTCAAGTTCCAAACAATGTAAGACTGCAGTGCTGTTCCCAGTTATAAAAATGGAAGTCTGAATTTACTAGGATGTTTAAAACTAATGTTTAATCATGTGTGGAATTTATGTATTCAGAAGTGAAATTGAAGAAAGAATAAGATATGAAAGTGTTATTTAAGGTAAAAGAACTTAAGTATAAAACAGTAAAACTTGGCATGTGTGATTTGATATTTTATCATCTGAAGTTTTGATACAAAAATTGTCAGATAAATTGAAATGATGTTAGATTCTTGAAATAAATAGGTGAGTGCAGAAACTACATGGACAACAGTACATCAAGTTAGACTTGGTAAATCCAACAATAATACAATTTTAATAGACTTTGTTTTTGGTCACAACTACAATATTTTCGCTTACCACGTACATGTACCAGTACATGAATTACTTAAATGCAACATTTTTCAATCAGATAAAAAAGAGAACCTTTACTATTATAAAAAAAACAATTGAAATTGTTTGCTTTGTTTAAAAGGTGCTATGTGAACAAGTAAATTAGGAGAAGGAGAGAGAGCATTTCTTTTTTGTGTAAAATAGTAGTACAAGTGAGTAAATGTCACAATATAGTGTTTTAACTGTAACATGACACCGTAATATGTATAAAGTTTTTTTCTAATGAATGGTATTACTGAATTGTACAGTGCATCTAGATTTGATTATTCAGCAGAGAAATATGGTTATAACCTTAAGTAAGCAAAAGGTGGGAGAGATATTTTCCTGTTGCTTGATGATAATGGAGAAGGAAATATATTGTAAAGGGATTTGAATGTTATATTCATAAAATATTGAAAGCAGCTGAAATTGACCAGGAAATTTGTACTTATTTTTCGTTTCATCCTTGGAATTCAACATCTGTTTTTATGAATATTTTAAGGTTAATACTTGAAAATTTGCAAATCACAAATGTTCCTTTTTAGTCAAGTAGCTCTTGCTTTGGGAAAAATCAGCAGTAAAATCAGGGACATAGATATCATTCCAGAATATTACAAACAGTTCAAAACAGTGCTTTGAACTATAGATTGCACTTCACAAGTATGCTATAAAAAAGCACAAGCTATCAAAATACTTCTTTTAAATTACAGAATTGGGTAGCTTAAACTGTAATGTATACAACTCTACCCTTGAATGTACTTTACAAAATGAAAGCAGGGAACTCAATAACTTTCAGTCATCAGTGGGACAATAATTGTCAAAGTGAGCATATATGAATATAATTAAACATAAGTAGTGAATATCACACTCATTTTTCAACAACACGCAGGGTGCTTTTTATTTTTAATTGCCCCTGTATATTCAGTAGCTGGTGTAGTACAGTGTTCTAAATGCCCCATTTCTTTAAAAAAAGCCCCATAAAAAATATTTCGATTAAAAGGCTGTATAAAGTGAAAGGTGTACAGCGTAAAAAAAAAAAAAAGAGAAAAGCTTAAGCAGCTACAATGAATCAGCAGAAAGCATTTTGTTATATTGGCACAAGGTTTGGATACTGCCATCTCTTTTATTTATAATTTTTTATGTTTATCTATTTTTCTTATGCACATATGGCAAATGACAAGAGCAGATTAAATTATATAAGACTGTAGCAATTATGTGCTGTATAGTAGCAGTTTGTTGCATGTCATGAATTATTTATATGTGACACTATTGTTGGCCTGACTAGAAATATTTTGTCAATGAAAGTATAATTTCCATGTAATAAAACTGTTCATCTTTTATTTATTAAAATATGTCAAATATACGGTGCCAGTGGGTTTGCTTATGTCTTTGTTCAGTGGCATGCTTGTTGGCTATACACTATACCCTTGTCATCTTAAATATTTAATTGTATGTGAATATATACAATTGGGATGAATATTTTGGCCACAGTTGACAAAATATTTTTTTATCACAGTAGTCAAAAATAAGTAAAGCCATATCTGTACATTCAAGGTGATTCTTGGCCTTTCACCTCATCCCTATTAGGTCTGGGTGACCTTCAACTTTGACCTTTTGGGTTAGATCAGATCAGATGACCATTCACCCTTGACTCAGGTGTGATTGGTTAAGTTCAGAGTCAATGTGCACTTTGACTTTTTGTAGGAAGAAATAGTACAAGTCATATCTTAAAAAACTTTCCAGTTATTTGGATACTGAATTTTTCTTTTACACTGTTTATAACAAATGCTTTCAATGGATGCCTATAGTTGTACATTGTACAGTTAATACAGTGCAAAATGAAAAAAACATACTGTAACATTGGTATATACACTGTATTAACATATGTAAGATAGATAGTTCCATGGCGCTCAAGATATGTTATTATATTATATGTTTCATAATCTTTAAATTACATATTTATTTTTCACTACAAAATAAAAAATTGCCATTTTCAATGTTGTCTAGTTTTTTTGTTCATGAAGAATAAATGTTTGTCATATACGTTAATTTGGTGTTGTTTTGTTGTTGATTTTAATTTTGTAAAAAATCAATTAAGATTTGAAGCAAAAGTTGCCACATAGACCTTTACAGTGAGTAGGGTTTTAAAAAGAAGAAAACGTAAATACATATGCTGCAAACACAGAAAACTTGTTTTAATGTCTTTTATTGAAGTCCAAATTTCATTAAAATATCAGGTTTTTCCTGAAACTGTTACTTCAATTTAATTATTTAAAAGTCGTTTAAATTGTACAATCAAATGTTCATTTAAGCTGCGTATATGTACGTGTGATACATGTAGTTTGAACCAGTGGAAATTTCTGAAGTATACCTAATATTTTTCTTTTTAAATCTGATACAATATCATAGAAATCAAGGTGTCATTTTCTGAGATAATGCTGTCGCTTTAAAATACATTGGGGTAAATTTGCTAACTCGAACTGATCTTTAACAGTTCTAAAGTCTATTTAATCAAAATAATCAGTAAATAGTACAGACGGTGCCAGAAAATTTGATATTATAAGTAGTACAGTAGTAAAGAGGCGATATAATGCGGGCTCATCTCTCGTAAACTAAAAATTGTAAGACCAAACACTGCAGCTAGATTGTAGTTCAAACCCTGGTCGTCAGTCATGCCAATGACCATTATAACCAGTTTACTTAATTAGAAATCGAAACTTTATTTACTGCCTTACACACATTCTTTTGGGTATTAGATAAATCTTCAGTGTTCAGTGACTAAATTAATCAACATTTATACATAAGTCATCTTACGGGTGATGTCATAATTGCAATTTTTGGAGTAAGAACTGAAAAAATCGGTTTCTCAAATTTTTCTTTTACCCGATCCGCGATCACTGTTTAACGCCAATTTGATGACACTATTTACCGGCCTTATAAACGGATTACGCGACTATTAACACTACCCGCAGATCTTTTAGCACAAACAGTAATATTAACCACAAAGCACACGAAATTACCAGTACACCGTACAATTATTTAGCACCAGCAACGCGATTCCTAGCACTAACATTCATCTGCTCTGGTAGTGCTGGTTAATTTGTGGGTTAGGTGGTTAATATGGGTGTTAGTGCTAAAAGATCTGAGAGTAGTGCTAGTAAACGCCCAGTCCGTTTATAACGTCTGATTTAGTCTTCTAAATCCCTGCCAGCGATTTTTCTTGGAAGTCTTAGTTAAGATTTTATGGTTGATAAAGCAAAACAATGCCTATGTTTAATGAAAATCTCAAAAACATTTAAACCAAAATGGCGGCACGGTATTGTAGCTAACACTCGTGGTAAACTCCGCCAATTTTCGTGATAAAAATCTTGTTCAAGGATAAGTTATGCCCCATACCGATTGCTTTCTCACCTCAAAATAGAAAGGTTTTTAATTGACGATTAAAGCATTGGGCTGCCTAGGTTTATACATTGCAACGAGAAATATAAACGCCGATATTTCATATTTTCGAGTTTTTTTATCAGTGCAAAGATAGATGCATTACTGATTAATAACATAGAGGAAACCTCATTTTCGGTATCTGGATAAAAAAGGGTTACTATATCCTTAATGAATGCACCAGTGCTGGCATAAACTTAATTGAATCGAAAAATATATAAAGATATCTGTACATTTAGATGTACACCTAAATAATGAAAATTGCTATCAAAGCCTGCCAGAGCATAAGATAGCATTGGACTGGAGAGAGAGATGTTGGAATACCGGCACTCTTTTTTCGTGACGAGATCGCACCTAAGGAGTTGCGGTATCTCATGACACTGACGCCAAAATTAAATTTGAAAAAAATCTGACGGTGAGATTTTGCTTTGACTTCATCCACAAAGCCCTCGAACAATTGATCGGCGTCGCTCACGCGATGAACGCCCTGCTTAAGTCTTATCGGTATAACGATGGTGATATTACCCCTCTCATCTCGGGGTAGTGTGCACCAATCTCCTTCTATCCCTTGTTCTGATGCCACCCACGCGCCACGTGGTGAAAAGCTGGATAAGTCTCTCCCACTAAAAAACTTGAAGCCAGTAGTGCAGAGTGCCAAAAACTCACATGGTCTCTTAATGGGCTCTTTAGGACTGAGTTGGATAGTTAAATTGAATGTCAAGTTAATGATAAGATCGAGGGGGAGAGAGCACCACTTTTCATCCGCTGGACATTCTTCGGACTGGTTACAGGCATCCTAAAATACAATCCAAATGGTACAGGTCATAAAAACGAATTAGCCTTTCCTGATTTCGAGCCTCGGGTTCGTGATCGCAAATGACGAATTATTGGTTCAAACTGCGATATCATGGCATGAACGTAAATTCAGTGGGCGCGAGCACCGCGATACAAATCGCGAATTTTTTCGGTACCTGTTCGGTACGTTCCGCATGTACGGGTTGGGGGTTGAGGAAAAGAACCCTATGTAAATAGTTAGAAACCCGGATGAATGCTGGCGTTTATGTACATGGGGTACATGTGATGCTTGCGACCACTTATTATACATTCACGCCATGACATCGCGATTTAAGTCTTTAATTCGTTCGCGATATCAAATCCCAGGTTCGAGATCGCAAACGGCATATACCGTCAAATTTGACAATTCAATGAAATAATGAAATAGAATGACAGCTTTCTACATTACTCACTTTAATTTACCATACTTGGAGGCTAACTAGGGGAACATATACAAATGATAACAGATAACAAAATGGAAGAAAAAAATCGGTACATTACATAGAATAACAGACTCCCCTTAAAAAATCCCGTAGAGGATTCGTCAGGAAATTTCTGTGAGGGTTACCTAACTACCAGTGGCATCATGTACCAGAATAAAGACAACATTGCAAATATGAACAATATCAACTCTTCAGATGATTCATTCGAATCGTTATTTTCGTCTATATTGCAGGTTTCAACTATATTTTAATGTGGCGCAAATGAGTTAAAGAATTATGCATCCTTACGTGAGTCCAAGGTTCCTGGCAGCGTGCTTCTCTGTGATAATCAATTAAAGCAGAAAGGCCCTGTGGTTCGAACCCCTTCCTCTCTAGTTCGTCTGGAGGTTGAAATTTCAATTATAAGTTGCACAAAAAATGATGTGCAAAATAATCGTTTATATTGCAGTATGTACAAAAAGTTAAAATATTGTTTCATATATTTGAAGACCTAATAAATCAATAAGTTAATAGAATTTTATCTAACTATACCAAACATTGCAATTGTAAATGGCGTCTCTAAGTCAGTTACTTTAAGATCAAAACAGAAGGAAAGCGTATTTAAAATAACAATAATGGATCATAAACAAAAAGCAGGTAAGAATATTATGACACAATTTCACTCTATTTTTGGTAATGGCCTCAATAAAAATAATAAACGTATGATCAAGATGACTTACCATTTTCATTACACTTTTGAATGCTTGGGATGGTATTCCATGGCAGGCGACAAAACCAACAGTTTATATTTCGACCATAAGAGTATCCATGGGGTCCTGCAAAATACGTCACGGACACGGGTCCAGAATTACAAAGACGCGAGGTCTCAGCGTCGGCATTTTCTGGACATATCCCGTCATCCGTCCCACTCAGTGGTTCGTGCACCCCTCCAGGGCCGATGCAAGGGCGCCCTGGGTGCTGTTCCGGGGCATCAAAGAGGACCATGCAATCTGGTGCCAAATGAATCTGCTCCAAAAGTCCGGCAACGGTCTTAACGTCTTTGAAAACTTCTATTTGTGACTTCTGACAAACAATCTTGGGTTTCCATGCTGTGTGTAACATCGCTTTGTGACATGTTGCACAGAAAGCGTTTTTGAATGTGACATTTGCCTTTGTTGACGAGACGGGCAATAAAACATTGATGTCTGTGGACCAACCATTGAATTCGCATTTCTTTCGAACAGCTTCATCACCCCAGTGACTTGGACATGAAGACACGACCCAATAGAATTTACTGTCATCGTCAGGGATTTCTCTAGATGCCTGTAACCAACACTTTGTGTCATTTCTCTGTATTTCAAAGCCCGTGATTCTGGTGTCGTTGCAAAAGCGGTCATATGGCCAACAGCAATCACCAAACACGTTACACAAGTCGTCGCAGAAACAAGTTACGAGGACGACATCATTGGTGAAGCTTTCTTTACGGCTAGCACAGAACGGGGTGTTAACTGTTACGTTCAACAGCATCAGTTCTCTCTGTGAACCAACATGGTCTAGTTTCGGTGTTGGGTTTAATGAATGTTCTTGAGATTCATGACCAGTGCTCCTTTGGTCTGTGATTATGAGGTTGTCACTTTCGGTAACCACTGGAGGGCCAGTTTGGTCTCTGGTGCTTTCGTGCCTAGGCCGAGTCGTTCTCAACAACATGTCGCGACTGCTGACGGTTTCAGGAGAAAACAAAGTTGTAGACCTGACAGTGGCGGAGTTACTTGTTGACCTAGGGTTTCTTTGCTTTGGCACACCGGCTGCATGGCCATCATTAAAGCTTTTTGAACTGAACAAAAAATACAAAACCATCGCCAAAAGCATTACGACCTTCATGTTTGATAACTCTTTTTTCTCTAATGCTCTGCTATGGTATTTTGTTTATATACATGCTGACGCTTACGTGTTTTTGGAAGATGGCTGGTATCGTCGTTTTGTTTAGAGGTTCAGAATTGCCGTGTCACAAAGATGAATGATTTGAACCAATCAGCAAGAGCAAGACAAATGGTTTAATCCAATCAGAATAAATATACCTGTAACACAGTATTACACCGCATACTCATATAATTATTAAGACATCTTTTGGATGTCTGCAATCTTCTTTTATCA